TTTTATAAAGTGGACAGTAGTAGCGAAATTTTGTGGCGCCACCACGCCGAGAGGGGATTAAAAAAGTGTGTGTCTCTGTGACATGCGATAGAAGCGAAGCTCAATGGTTGTATTGGTGTGATTAAATGTGAGTCAATCCTTTTTAGATTGGTGAGAGGAGCCGTTATAATTATTTATTAATTATTGTTGGCTAACGTAAATTTGGATTTTAAAAAATGGCTAGAAAGTGGTTACCGTTTTCTGTTATCGAACTAGAAAATAGCCGAAAATGGCTTGCAAGCAGCTCAAACTAGAAAATGGCGCGTAAAACAATTATATTAACACCGCCGTCACCGATGGTTGCCGATCCAACCGTCAAGTAGAAACACAAGAAACGGCCATTCTTAAAAACCATAACTTACCAGGTTGTCAAAAAGAAACAGAAGGCAAATCAACTGCTGACGATGGTGTGTTTACAGCTAGTGTAATTTAAAATATGAGGCGGAGGGCTTGCCAACTTTGGGATTTTTTTGGTTTAAAGCATTTGAACAGACAAAAAGGGGTCTTACTTTGTTATCCTATGTATATGTACAGAAATGGTATATATTATCCATAGTTTTGGTGCAGCGCAATAGTCTAGTTTTGACTTAAAAAGCAGTCAGTTGTGTATTTTTAAATATAATTCACGGTTATTATTTCAAAAACCTAAAAAGGTGATTTTTTATGAACATGGCTCTGCATAATGCAAAATGTAATTATAAAATAATAACTTAAAATATTTTCTTATTTATTTTTTTTAATTAAACATTTTTTTTTGTATTTTTTAATTATTGAAAAATTAAAATATGTATAACATTATTGAAAATAAATGTATCAATAAAAATTTTTTTATGTTAAAAACTTGGCAATTTTATTAGGCAAATATTGCACCGGCAACAAAATTCAACTTTGAGCTAATATTGTGCAGCTTCTAAATATCATAGCACAATTTGCAATGATTTGACTTCCGTTCAGAAGATATGATTTTTGCAAGGAAAAAAGTCAGAAGGCCCCACTGTGCGAGGGTGCAATGCGACGCCTTTAGCAGGTCGATCAAAACTAGGCCTTGCAGTGCAGTTGCCAGCAGAATGCTCTCTTTAAGAATGTAAAAGTGAAGGCAAAGAATCAAAAATCATTGCTGTAAATCAACTCTCTCCCATTCCACACGTGAAAGCCGTAGCAAGGATGACAGCGATATAGCTACAAAACCAAGAGCTGTGAACAGAGCTTGGGGATAGATTTCATTTATGGCTATAACTTCCTTTCAAATAAGCCTATCAGTTATTTAAAAAAATGTCAGACGTACAACAGTCTTGTCAAAAAATTAAAAATAATAATCTGATGAATTAATGAGTAACTTATAACCATGTCGCAACGAAAAATGCTATCTGAATCCAGAATATATAGGTTATAATTTTTACAAAATAGGCTAAAACTTAACATTGTATCGGTAACCATTTTAGGCATGCAGCATTTTTTTTAAAGATACTAAGTAGTATAAAGCATTTTAATACTTATCCTTAAAAACTTGCGGAATCTTTGAAAAAAAAGCAATTAAATAAATTTGAAGCTCCTTTTTGAATTTAGTTTTTGATTGTTATTTGTACATATGTACACAATTATCTTTATATTGAATAAAGTCAATTTATTTTAATCGGCTAAATAGCAAAGCACTTGTTGGAAGCGAAAATTTAAGCGGACGCTCCTCTTGGGCGGACAAAAGTTGGTTGACAGGAGACTTCACTGTAGTATCGGTTGATTTCAACAAAAAATCAATATTTATATTTACAGCGAGATTATTGGCAAAAACGAGCTTGTTTTCCAGTATAATGATTTATTATTGAACTTGGATTATTTGGAGTGTTGTGTTTGTTGGTGAACCTATTTTTCGGTTCTATGCATACGATAGATCTGTGCCATAAACAACTATATAGGGACTGAGCCAAGCATTTTAGATATTTGGAAAGTTTTTTTTAAAAAATGAACTATGTATATTTGTAAAGTAACATCTGTTTTTACCCGCAGTCTAGATATTTATTTTCATGTACGCATTTCCACTTTTACCAATAAAGCCGACGTTTTTTTTGGGGATTTCCACATATCTAATTAGTAAACAACTTTTGACTACTCTATCTGAGTTTCTTGTCCTCTATATACAACTTAGAAATCGGTTTAGAAACAACTTTTGATTAGCGCCATCCAAGACACACCATTATCTTCCTACAATTTAAATAGACTTTGCCGTTTCTTCCTTCAAACTCTGGAAGATCGCAAAACATTTTCACATATTGCTACACGAAATAATAGGTTATGAAATCTTCGTCCTTGAAATTTCACACAACAATTGAACTCTTCATTTCTTGGGATTCTATCGAATTGCATATCATTTAACATTTTTTAATATCTATTTTTTATGTAACATCCCTTTTGTATTTTGTGCTGCGTGTTTTGTATTGTCTCTATTTTTGTTTAATACCACAAATCAACTGACATAATTATAGTTGATTGTATAGATGATTTACAAAATTTATATTTTTCCATTTTTTTATTTGATTAATTGAACATATCTCATTAGTTTTGTAATACTTATTAAAAGTATGTCAATTTAAAAAAATTTAAAATTTAACTGCAACAATGTAGCTTGAATATATGGGACGTAATATTTCATTATTTTTTAATGGCCAGAGTTGCATTTAAATAATGGATTCATTTTTTACATTTTCAAATGCTTATGCTCGTGTTCATTAATAAATTCTAGAGGTTTGATAAATGTCCGTTTATGTATTAATACAAAATAAATAAATGCTAATCCAATTCTATTTAGTAAGCACATTTTTAGGTCGCTATGGGTAAATAATTATTGGAATTTTAAGGCTTTGTGAAATTAATTCAAATGCTACCAAATTGTTAGACACAGCGCTTCGTCATTGAATATTCTCCAGTTACATTCATGAAAGCGAAAGTTAAGGTGAATAATTGGCAAGTTGCTGTTATTGTTGTTTGTTATCTACCTACAGCAATTAGAGCCTAAAATCCATAAATTCATTTCCGCCCATGGTTTAATTTCCGTTTCCGGCGCGTGCATCGGACCATGGCCTTAAAGTTTTGCAGCCGAACGGGAAAATTTCGCCAGCGCCGTTAATGTGTATGTACGAGTATGTATTTATTTAACTATATGTATTGTAATTAGAGATATGACAGTAGAGGAGTGCGTATGTCTCAGGCATAATATAAATTACTAGCAATACCATTCTATAGTTACATACATACATACATGTGTATACACATTGTGTTATTTTCGTATTGTATTTTCATATTGCCATGACATCTGCCACAGAAATGGAACCGACACCAGCAAAGACTGCGGCAGTCCTAAGCTCCGGTCCTCACGAGCAGTTCCTAATCGATTGCTTACAATGGCGAACGACGCACAGTGGGGCCTTCTCATATTTTTCGTTGCAAAAATCATATCTCATGAACGCACAAAGATATTGTCATGAAAAATTGATTTATTTTGAAAGAGCAATTCTTAAGCTTTAGAACAAATCATTGCGCGCTGTTCTACGATTTCTAGAAGCTGCACAATATAAATAATAATTGCCCAAAAAGATGACCAAGTTTGTAATTTTTTACATCGACCTAAAAAAAATCAATCATCAATTTTAAAAATTTAAAATAATGATGATTTTAATTTGTTTATTTCATATTGTATTAAATTTCATTATAAAATAATTTAAATAAATCCCTGTTTGTATATAAATTTGTTTAATTCTTGTTTCTGGAGTCTAGGACTTTCTTTGATATTTGTCCAATTAGTAGGCACTGATATTTTAAGAACATTCTCCCATGAGTCAACATTTGTTGAACCATGGAAGCAAGCTCGTTTTCAGGAAGGGAGTATTTTACAAATTATAGGTCTGTTTATAGTTGCAATTTAAAAATAATCAACTTCCGATTCGGATTTCCTTGAGAGTACAATTTTCTTAATCTCTGGGAAATTATACTAGTACTATTAAATACGTTTACGCTTTTTACCAAAAGCGTTCATGAAATTTTTGATTTTTGCAACCTATTTTGGCCTAAGGTCCCACAGTGCGACGGAGCGTACAGGGCCGTGGAAACTTTTGCCTTTGTCTCACTTGCGCGTAGATAGCCGGCAATGACACAACTTCAATTTGGAGTCCTGTGGTTGCCTGCGTCCTTGCTCCTGTATCCGTCGACCGCCGGCTATTTCAACTCCAGCCAACTCTATAATTATAAAATCAATTTAATGCTTAAATTGCAGGTTCGGTGCATAAAAAACTGAACAGCCAGCAGGCAGAAAGTATTTATTCTAAAGCTGAGTGCGTGACACGCACAGTCACGAAGGAAACATCTCAAGATATATATTTTTATTACAGTTCTCAGCAGTGTAGTTGACGAATTCAAAATTTTCCAGCACCGATAGGTATAAGGTCAAATCTGGGAAAAGTTCTTACATTTCAGTAAAGTAGTACTTTTGAAAATTTTCTAATAATTCTTTAATAAAATGTGCACATAAATCTTTAAGATTTAAATGTTGTTCCTCTTACTTAATACGTGAATTAATACAAAATTGTTCTATATCTTTATTGGTCTAATCAATGGACTACATTTTTGTAGGATCTCTAATTTTGGAATTCTCATAATTTTTTGTCACATAGGAAGCTTTTGTGAACCCTAAAGGCGATATCCTTACGAATTTCACGGTGCAATGAGTAGTCGCTACTAACGCACACCTCTAGTTCACATTCCCACACACACACACACACACACACACGTACCTATATATAGGGTCAGTGGACAGTGAACTTTGAACTGTGTATGCGTGCTTGTGTGGTCAGCGGTTTTCCGAACTCTGTAATTGTTTATGCCGCGCAACCTTTGAGGCATTCAGTGTTAAAAAAATATCGTTGTCATGTGATTATTTGTTTGTCTTTTTATTTCTCGATGCCACCTTGCAGGACTACATGAAACAACTGAGCGGAATGGGATTATGTCTCGTGAACTTGATGGATGACATGCACGAATACACTCGGGGCCTATTTCTACTCATGTAAGTATAGCAATTGACTGTAGAACGAAGACAAGTGATCGAACTCGTTAGCTATTTATTAAAAAAAAAAACCCCGGAATGAATGTGTTATTCGACCCTCTTCCCCATTTCCTTTCCCGATATCATCAGTCTTGCCATTTAGTAGGTGGAATCAAGTCCTAACGAATGCGTCACAACTGCTCTTTGCATTATTCCCATTTGGGTCCAAAGTGTACGCATTTTTCCTTACGTATAATACTATATGTACGAGTATGTAGTGTATGCTCAAAATTTCCTTCTCTTCTGTTTTTTATTTTTTTGTGCATAAATAACGTGTACAAAAGTTTCTTCTACCCCTGCACTGGCCATTAAATAAAATCGTCCAACTATTATATATACATATGTACGTATTATTAATTTCAGTTGTGTTCAGCCCACTCTCAAGAAATAATGAATCACACTATAACGTGTCGAAATCATTCGATATTAACTAAAAACTATTTTTTTTTAATTTTTTTTTTAATTTCAAACAGCATTTTAGAAAAAAATTTCAAAAAAATAAAACAAACCTGCACAGCGTATACACATAAGGCAAGTTTTGGTGCAAAGTTTGGTGTCTCTACCTCTTATAGTCTCTGAGATCCAGGTATTCATACGGACAGACGGACATACAGACAAACAGAGAGGCATAGATCGACTCGTCTTGTCATGTTGATCAAAAATATTATTATATATATAATATTACGATAGTTCTGTTAATAGGATTAAAAGCGGAATTAAAGACTTAATTCTTTTTGGTCTAGTCCGCATGATAATGTGCCACACAGTTTCCTTTCAACTGAACTCTATTTGTTGGCTCTCTTAATTATGCAGTTTAAGCTTTTGATGAAAAGCGAACAAATTTTGAACACAGCTCGTGGCTCTATTTGTGCTCCATTTGCAGGTATTGTGGACCGGCCATACTACTCTCGTATCTGTACATACGCACCTCGCAGGAGCTGCGACCGCCCGACGGACCATTCGCGGTTATGATGTATGAGCATCGCGCCGACTTGCGCATGCGACAAAGGTAAGTAATGAATATGTACATACATACATATATGTATATACATATATAGTATACATATGTATGTACAGTGGGAGACGTCTTTGTCTAATTTTGAAGCATGTACTTTTAGATTTTTGTTCACTTCTTTCAAAATAAAAGAGACATCTCTACGATCAAGTTTTTTTGGACGACCACTTCGAGGTTTATTTTTGACACTCATTGTTCTTATACTATAGTTTTTAAATATTGGCTGCACAGTGGACTTGCTAAGACTTAAGAGTTTGGATATTTCGCCTAGTTTTATTCTCATTTCTGTGCTTTAAAACCAATTTTCGCAAATCGGTTGAAGTTTTCTTACGCGGAGCCATTGCTAGGCACGGAATCGTTCCAGAGAGCTACTAAATGAAATGTTAATACACCTAATTCTGTTTTTACACGGTAGAGGGATTCCAGAAACACCCGTGTAAAGAAATATACATATATGAAATTTTTAATTTTCAAACCGTGTTATATCAAAATCGTGTACAAATAGAATTTGGTGTAATTTCTAGAGCTAAACAAAATCTGGACTTTTAAATATCGGGGAATTACTGTTTTATTGTGATGCACAGTTTGAAGTAAAAAGTGTCAAATAAAATCGTATGTACACTTTAGTCAAGGAAGAAATATGGATTCTTGTTTATACCTATTAGTAGAGGTGGAGAACTATCGATGGCACTATCGGAACCATCGATGGTGGGGCACTATCGAACTACCATAGATGGTAGCCATGCACTATCGATAGTTTTAGACAGTTTTTCTTGAAAGCTTTACCAACAACTAACAAAGGGCGCACAATATAATTGTAGCTCACAGCGTGTATTAAACTTTTTAAAACTATTTATTAATATTTACTATAAAATATATGTATGCGAAAAAAAGGAATATATTGGTTAAATTGATTGATTACATTTGCGTTCGAATTGTTTTAAAAATGTTATAATTTGTAAGAATAATTAAAAAGCTTTAACCCAGGCGAGGATAGTCCTGTAACTAAATTAATGCAATAGTAATAACCGATCCCAATCCATCAAATTGAAACCGAATGCTTGTTCGTTGAAGCTTGGGAAAATATTAATTTGTTGCTCTTTTCAAATAAGAACCCATGGCTTATATCAAAATATGTATATAATCGTTTATGAATGTTCATAAGTCAATATTTTATATCAATAACAACGAAATATTACTTTCTTTTGTTAAATTTTAGTTTGCTGTTTAACTTAAACCTATATTTGTATTTTTAAACATATTTGTTTAAATACGTTTATTATCAAGAACTATCGATGGTTTCCTGAAAACTATCGTCGACTATCGATGGAGCCGACTATCGATATTTCTCCACCTCTGCTATGTAGGGATACAACTTAATTTTATGATTTTTTGTTTTCTTTTATAAAAATACATAAGCTGGTATTGGTTTTTTAATAAACACCTTTGGTTCTGCCAGGTAGCAATATATGGGGCGTATGTAGACTTTTGGCGCCCACTGTATATATGTACGAGTATATGCTTTTGAAAATTGTTGGGCTCTTGGCATACGCTTAACTGCTGTGGCTGTGTCTGTTGCTGTGGCTGTGGCGGTGGCGGTGGCGCAAGGACGCCCTCATGACCCGTGTCATGTTATCGAAATATATATTAATCATACGCCGTAAGCCGCGCTCCACCAAAACACCAGTGACAGTTCATTATTGGACTTCACTCCCGGCTGCTACTCTTTCTCTACTTAAACATGTCTCTAATTGCGTTGATTAATATGGCGGAACTTGGAAACAAAGGCAGCACCAGCAGCAGCAGCAGCAGCAGAAAGAAGGCGTGCCAGTGTGGCAGCAGCTGATGAGGATTGAGCGGATTGAGGAGAAGTCGCCGGCGCTGAGAAATTGGAGCACAGTCGCCTGTCGGCTGTTGCCACTAATGAGCTCAATCTTTGCTCATTTGGTCGCTGTGGGCGCTGCATTTAATGAGGTTGCTCGATTTGTTAAGAATGTTTCTCATTCCTCTTCTTTGATTTTTTTTCTCGTTCCCGTTACCCGTAGAAACTCATCGACCACATCGACATCTGGGGGCGAGCGTACGTTGAGTGGAGGCGGCGTAGCGGGCCTGACCACCGTCACCTCGCACAGCAATGGCGGCACAGGAGGGGGCTCCTCCGCCCAGTCACGCTCCTACGATCTATACAGTGCGGAAATGGACGTGCGGCGCGAGAAGCGGAAACAGCGTAACTTTGGCAGCATGGCGGCCGCCCAGGTGGTCTGTGTCTGTCCACTGATGGTGCTGCGCTTCGCCCGCCTCTCGCTGGAGGAGACCTACGAGAACCAGAAGCACTTCGACTTCACGTATTTGATGTTTGTTTGGGTCGCCTTCTTGCCAACCGTCATCTTCCCCTGCATCTATGCCTCGCAGATTTTACCCAGGTTTGAATCTATTTCCATTTCTCCCTGTCATTTTTCTCCAAACAAATCTTTTTAAGTGCTAAGTACATAAAACATGCATGTTTATTAATATCATTAACAAAAATGCACACACTTTGTATTTTAGTTATAGATTTGTAAGTCTTAACGTGATGTAAATGCTACAAACAATGCACATCCAACTTTTTCTTTCTTGGCTCTCTGAAAATTGTTTGCTGTGGTAAAACCCCAAAGCTACAGTTTTGTCAACCCATAAAGTATATATAAGTATATTCTTAATCAGTTAATAAACCTTCTTCCACCCTGTCAGTGATTCTCCACTTTTAGCTTTTATTTATATTGTTATCTTTTATTACTGTAGTATCTTAAATCAATTTAATTTTACTTGTTTTTGATTTTTTTTTTATTTATATTTCCGCATCTCTATTTCCTTTTAGTTAGGTCTGACTACTCTGTGCTGTGAATCGGGGCATAGCTGGCCATTTGGCAAATGAAATACCCCTACCAAGTTTGATTCGTTATTTGATATTATTGTAATTTATATAGCCTTTTTACTCTCTCATTTTTTTCATTCTATTTGAAGTTCTTTATTGCATTGTGTTGTTTTTCATCGACAGCTATGTTTGTTAGTAAAATAAATAAATAAATAAGCTTCATAACGAGGACGATATTACCGATATGGCAGATATGTCCAACCGCTGTCCGTTTGTCTATCTGTATGAATTCCTCAATTTCGGAACAGGCTGATTTGCCAAGCATGTATTGAGGGAATGTGGGTATGGAGGTACCTAGCCTGTCTTGGACTGTGCGAGGATATCTCCCGTTATGTTATTATCAGTCGTTGGGAACCAATACGTCTTGCGTGATTTAAAGCCATAGTAGAACTTAAAGAATTTTCTTTATTAGCCTAATGAGATAATGGTACAATCGAGCAAGCCCCGCACCCCAAACATTCACAGCTGTTTAATATATGAGTACATTTGTTGCTATATACATAGATATACTTGTAAGCGCATAACAGCAGGAAAAATGTGATCGTCAAGATTTTGGAGCACCAATTGTTCATTAGTTTTATGCCAGTTTCTGAAATTTCCAAAGTCCTCAATCTCACGATATGTCCCTTTACGATCTGGAGCCTTGGATGAACTTTAGCTTGGCCTGAAGCAAAAGATGTTCACGATTATATTTATTGTGCCACTGTCTATACCATTGCTTGTACCATTGCTTGAACCATTGTTTGTACCATTATTTTATCGTTGTTTGTACCATTGTTTGTACCATTATATGTACCATTATTTACCATTTTTTGTAACTTTATTTTATCATTGTTTGTACCATTGTTTTCACCATTGCTTGTAGCAATATTTGTACCATTGTTTATGCCATTATTTTACCATTGCTTGTACCAGTGTTTGAACCATTGCTTGTACCATTATTTTACCATTTCATGTACCATTGTTTGTACCATTATTTTATCATTGCTTGTACCATTGTTTGTACCATTATATGTACCATTTTTTAACATTTTTGGTAACTTTATTTTACCATTGCTTGTACCATTGTTTTCACCATTGCTTGTAGCATTATTTGTACCATTGTTTATGCCATTATTTTACCATTGCTTGTACCAGTGTTTGAACCATTGCTTGTACCATTATTTTACCATTTCATGTACCATTGTTTGTACCATTATTTTATCATTGCTTGTACCATTGTTTGTACCATTATATGTACCATTATTTACCATTTTTTGTAACTTTATTTTACCATTGCTTGTACCATTGTTTTCACCATTGCTTGTAGCATTATTTGTACCATTGTTTGTGCCATTATTTTACCATTGCTTGTACCATTGTTTGAACCATTGTTTGTACCATTATTTTACCATTGCTTGTACCATTGTTTGTACTATTATATGTACCATATTTTTACCATTATTTTATCGTTGATTGTACCATTATATGTACCATTATTTACCATTTTTTTGTAACTTTATTTTACCATTGTTTGTACCATTGTTTTCACCATTGCTTGTAGCATTATCTGCCATTGTTTGTACCATTATCTGCCATTGTTTGTATCATTATCTACCATTGTTTGTACCATTATATGTACCATTATTTACCATTTTTTGTAACTTTATTTTATCATTGTTTGTACCATTGTTTTCACCATTGCTTGTAGCAATATTTGTACCATTGTTTATGCCATTATTTTACCATTGCTTGTACCAGTGTTTGAACCATTGCTTGTACCATTATTTTACCATTTCATGTACCATTATTTGTACCATTGTTTCTACCATTGTTAGTAAAATTATTTGAACCATTGCTTGTACCATTGTTTGTCCTTGCTCTGCTAGCAGCAGTTGCTGTTGTTGCTGCTGCTTAACACTGTATTGCACACATAGTCACAAAAAGGCATGCATGGACACACATACACCCGTTGATAATCCCGCTGTACATTTTTGTTATCATCCTGCTCCACAGAAACGAACAGGAGCGGCTCCGCGGCTACTTACGGCTGTCGAGCAAACGCAAGAAGAAGGCACGCCGCAGCGATGCCGGCGAAAGCGGTGCACCTGGGGGCAGCTCCCGCGAGAACTCCATAGAGAAGGATGAGCACACAAACACCACAACCGTTCTGGCTAATGGGGCGCACGGACCAAACGCTGGTGATGTCTACAGCGAGCCAAATAAGCAGACCAAGTCTGCACGCTCGCATGAGCTGCGACATGAGCGACATGCGGGCGATCGGTACAGTGGCGCCCCCTATCGACAGGCCCAAAGTCATGGGGCGAACAAGGAGCGCGTACAACGTGCTGCTCCTCTCTCCGGCGGCAGGGGCGCTGGCGATGCGGGTGTTGTCAACAATCTGGGCAAGGACATCCGGAGCAAAAAGCACGACGTCAAGATCAACATTATATCTGATGGCCAAGGCCCCCATTCCATGCGCCATGGCAAGCTGATGAGCAGCAGCAGTAACAGCAGCCGTAAGTCTGCGCATGCGCGACACAGTGGTGGTGGTGGTGGGGTCGGTTTGGGCGTAGCTGAGGGCGCTGGATCAGGACGAAAGCTAACCATTGAATCGCTGGACAACAATTCCGTGTCAAACATCACTGCATCCACCTACTGCAATGGGAATAGCACTCTACTCGATGACAGCAGCACCAGCAATTATGGGGATGGCGAGGAGAGCTCAGTAGTGAGTAGCATTATGATGCCGAATAGTGCACATCTGGCCACACGCTGGCACGCAACGGGCAACATGCGTCACAAGGATGTGTCCTTTAGCGAGTGCAGTAGCACTTTCTCACGCATGGACTCATCGTCGAGCACCTTGGAACGTGATTTGGAAATCATTGATCTGTTGGAACGTGAGCGTAGCATGGACATACAGGTACAAATATCATACAATAAGTTAATAATCATAATCCAAATAATATAAAATATTAAATTGTTATTATCAAAAGTGCGTAAATTATTATTGGTTATGACCGAGAAATACGCGGCCTAATAAAGGATTTTAATAAATATGTGTTGGTGGCTCAAATATTTATTTTCAAATTCCAATTGGCAACAAAAGTAAAAATAAATATATTTAAAAAAAACCCCAATATGCAAAAAAAATAAAATAATAAGAAAGCAATAAAATGAAACAATAAAAGTCAAAATAAAATATTCAAATAAAAAATTTAATAAAAATTCCAAGTGGCTGTATTAGATAGATCAGAACATTATAGGTGTCACAATTGAATGTGTGAAAGATTACATTTCAGTATTCAATTAAGTTATTGCTCAAAAGATTAGTTGACATTCAATAGTGTGTAAATAATTCGTATTTTGAAATCTACCTTAATTTTTTAAGGTGTGATTCGTGATTTTAACTTCATAACAAATGCTCATTTAGACTTTTTGCTTTGAATATTCATTTGTATAACAAAGAGTTATTAATACAAATTTCCAATTCTGAAGCGACTGCCTCTTCTCATCCCTAGTTACTAAATGATATTTGAAAAAGAGTGTGTCAAATTTAACATCGATTAGTAAATAATTTTAGTAGCAAAAATTAATAATTAATAACTATAAATGAAGCCGGCGCGTAAACATTTTATAATTGAAGAAAGAAGATTGTAGAATGCTACTATTTACAGATATTATTTAAACGAATTTGTGTTAGAACTTATAAAAACCAAAAATAATTACAAAATATTGGTTCTAACTTGAAAGATAGATAGATAGAGAGACATAGAAAGAGCGAGAAAAGTTCAGAAAGCTTAAGTGTAGGCCTAGAAGTGCAGACTCAAGTTAAGACAATTTATTAAGAAATTCGAGCTCCATTGCCATTATCTACATATAAAAAAAGTTTGAACTACAGAGAAACAACAGGTAAAGCCTCCTTCCAACTTTCCATAAAGTACATTTGAAGTCAGATGGAATATCGCAGTTGTCGGTCAAATAATAACGACATAAATCTTTAAGAAAAATTTAAGTAAAGGTCAGCTCTTTAGCTAGAAGCACAATAAGATCTGAAATACAGTCAAAACACAGAATTAGAGTCCGCTTGAAAGAGGCGGGCATAGCTTTAAGTAACTCATAATTTCTTGAATCATCTCTCCATTGGTGCTAAGACAAACAAAAGTCTTCAAGCCGTTCAAAAGCTTTCTTCTGGAGTACTTGAAAGCGACTATCACTTGTGCATAGTTACAAATATTAAAAAAAAACTCATGGTATTACAAATAAAACCTTTTTTAAATTCAATAACCAATGAGTTACTAAATTAACCGACAGGATTATAGAACAAAACAGTTACAAAAATATATTAAATTTCAACAAACAGTTTTTTTATGTATTATTTATTTGATCGAGGATTATGTTTTCCCTGACAATCAATAATATTTCAGCAGCTTCAATTTATTTAATTTTATTTCTTAATCATGGCTTGAGAGATTCATTCGCTAAAAATATGAATTCATATTTTGTGCAGGACATGATGGAGCGAGAGAAGCACGGCGAAAAGGTGAGAACAATGGGTGGCGCCGGTCGACAACTTCCCGATATTGAGAAACTCTATGCACAACGGTCACCCAAGCCCACACGTGATTCCTATGGCTATGAAAAGGCGCTGACCAAGAATAATCAACTGTTGAGCACCTCGGTGCTGCCGGGCAGCGACCCACTGAGCATATCTCACTCCACGCACTCATCGCAACCCACTGAATCGTACAGCTTGTCATCGACCCTGAATGAGGAGGAGATGCCCCTGCCGCGAGATGAGCTGCTGTTGCAGCGCATGAGTCTACACGATGACATGGTCGAGCGCATGATAGTGGACGAGGAGGAGGAGGAGGTACCCCAGGATTTCTATGACAACTACACACCCGGCGCCAGCAACAATATGCCCATTGGCAGCAATCTCAATGGGAAACCACTGAGCACAGCGGTGGCGGCAGCAGCTGCACCACCAGTTCCTCCGCCCGCTTACCAATATCAGTATACACGCCGTCTCAGCCGCAAGAGCTCGCATCACAGTGTTGGAGTCGGCAGCTCCCATCATCGAGGCAGCAAGCGGGACAGTTTCAATTCTTTGAATGGCAGCGATTTAATTGCAGGAGCTTTTTGTGAACTGGATCCGACGCAGCCGTTGAACAAGATGTCCGTGATTGATAGTCGAATGCGACGTAGTAGCCCCAGGAACTCCAGTTTTTCGTCCTCGTCGGCGCGCAGCTCCATGAAGTCGAGGGACTATGGACACGGCTCCACACATTCGGCGCATCCGGAACTCGACTTTAGGGAGAACATTTTTGCCGAACTTTAAATTGTAGAGCCAACGAAGAGAAGGCATCACAGCTGTGTCCTGGACTTGGCCATGGCTCAAAGCTGGACTTGGATTTGTTTAGTAAGTTCGTAATTTATGCATAATATCCTACTGAAAAGAAACTGTAATTACTTATATGGATGAAAGACGAATTCTTTTGCATGTACTTCCAAAGACTTGTTCACACTATCAAAAAAAAAAATGAATATTTTTGGATTATTAGCATTTGCTTACTCAGAAACATTAACAGAAACACAATAATAGTTTTGTTTTCTAGCTTTCTTCCACATACATACGTATATAGTTTCTGTTCAGTGCAGACTCAAGCTTGATAAGAGTTTTTAATCCTGAATATAGCAACAACTTAAACGAACAAGTTTCGATATTATTATTCTTTCAGATTTTTTTTTAATTGTCCATAATATAATAATATATTCTTTATTTTTGTGTTTTTTTCACTATTTTTTTTATATTCTTATATTTATATATATGTATATTTTATTTTATATATATTTTTTTATTATTATTATGTTGCAAATAGGCCTGCAGTTTTGGTCGTAAGCAGACAATTTGCCCTTTTTTATATATGAGACACTCTTACAGAATTTTTAAAACTGCTGGAATCCTGTTAACTCGTTGAGTTATACCGGGCTACAAATAATTTCTGATAGATCTTTTAACATTGCATTGTTGGGAACATATTTTATAGAAAGTAGAGCATACTTTTAGGGTTCGCTCTTTGGGTTGGAAATTTAGGTGCAATAAGCATTTTATAAACAAAAACTACGGCTCATTGCTTACAAATTACGAAAATGACGGGCATAAATTTAAAAATGTATCGAAACGAAATGTTTTTTGATATTGCAATGCGTTGTGAAAAAATCATTGTTTGACAATTTATCAAGAAATCGTTAGAAAATGACATTGTTTAAGAATGAATACACGAGTATATGCCCAGTAATCGTGATATATTTCAGAGTGAACTTGGTTGATGGGCCTAACCAAACAAAAAATGAACATTTGAACCTGATAAGAAATAAAAGTGTAACTAGAACCAAATACGCATAATGCAACAAAACAAAATCGAAAATTAGTTCGATTCGAGTTCAGGCCTAAAAACGGTTGATAGTGTGAACAAGGCTTAAGTTTGGTGGGAGGACACCATGAGGAGCAGAAAATTTTTCGCGGCATTCGCCACTCATGCAAACAGAGTCCCTTGTTAAACTTGAGTGCACACTTCTTCGTAAACTACTACTCATTAATGTTTATTTTTTTGCTAGTTGAAATGAAAATGAAAAGTAGTAATAAGTGCGTTTTCGAATGCAACTTTTTCTATGGAGAATTTTTTACTCTTAGCTTAGCGAAATTTCGCGGAAGTGCGAAAGTTGAGAATTTGGAATGAAGTATTACTATTTTTTTGTCATGTTTCTTGAAAACATGTTTTATACTATGACCGCTGATAGGAAAGCGGCTTTGGTCAACAAAAACAAATTCAAAAAAAATAATAATGCGAAAAACGAGAGGACAAAGAAAAAAGTTAGGAGCACTTTTATGAATGGGCACACTTAAGAGATAGAACAATTCATGAGACGTAGCTGAATTAAATGACAAATGTGGTTTTGTAAGAGGAACAGGATATTTACATGAAATATAATCAAAATACAAATAAAATATCAATGGATAAATCCATTGTACAATATTCAAGTTGTTAAAATAACTAATCGCTATGTACTATATTTGTGTACCAAGTAGATGCAGATATTTTCAAATCAAATCAAAACCTCTGGCAACAAAATCCAAAACACAATTTTAAGCTATATAATCAGAATAATAATATCTGTGTGTGTACGTGTGTGTGTGTCTGTGTACATAATCAAGTTATTACTGAACGCTATTCTAATATAAAGCTATACAAAGAGATAACAATAAGCGAGCAACATGTGCCAAGCAGCTTAAGTGCTGAGAGAAAGTAGATTTAAGTGGGAATAGATACTTAAATACTTATAAATACATACATGTACTATATATTCAACAGATTATTTACCGAGTACGCGTATGATCTAAGAGAACGCTGTCAGAAGCTAACTAAAATATTCATATAAATGTTCACGTCTTTTAAAATTGCAAATTTTAATTGTGTTTAAATGTCATACGAATATTATAAGCAACTAAATATTTAACAGAAACTGTTTCGCATCGGAGGCAGCGAAGGTTTTTAGTCGAAAGAGTGCGTAAAGCTAATTGTTAAGTGTGTTGCCACAACAAAGCACAAACAGAAATATTAAAAATTTATCAAATAAAATATGTATGAAATACAGTATATGTATATTATTACGCACTCACACAAATTTGCAATTCTTTTGAGCCCCGAGAATTGTAATTAATAACGAGCGCAAACATTTTACAGAAGTCAATGCTACGAACTAACTATGAATGTTATTGTTATTTGAGACAACGCAGCAGGTTTTGATTAAACAAATAAAATAAACATTAAAAATGTTATACATATTGCATAATAAATATGCTAAGCAGGACAAAAGTACGAGTAACACAAACAACGCAACCAATGCAAGCTCCATGAAAAATGAGAAAAGTCCCTTTACACATCTATGTATATACGTACTATACACATACATATATATATTTGTGTATATTGAATAAGTTGTTTTTTTTTGTATTTTTTTGTATGTGAAACAAAGAGAAAAACTAATAAAAAATTTGATGTGAGTTTAACCTACAAAAGGCTGTTGAATTGACTTTCCTGTACGTTTGGGGGGGCCAGTGGGTAGCCTTCTGTCTGCCTGATGATGCGAATTGGACGCTGTTTTATTTGTATTTCAGCTGCGTCATAAAAACGAACGGAGCGGGCCTTGTGCAATTCCTGGCGTTATCTGTAGGTAAGTGAGCCCCTGCCTCGTCTGCGTTCACTCCGAGAACATACATATATAGTACATATAGTCGTAGTGTAAGCCAAGCTGCTGGGACCGAGCATGTGGCGCCCAATTTAATCCCCAAAAATGTATGGGAGCAGCACACGAGGTCATAGCCGGTTGTGACACTGCACAGTGGGATTTTGATAACAATATGCAAAGTACAGAATATTGACTAGTTGTAAACCGTAATGAAAAATCTGCAAAGTAATATAGTAACTATGACGACTATTACTTATTTGTTTCCTATTATAAGCCTCTTTTTTTGTACAGGAACATATGGGCTTTTCCAACGAAAGGACAAACGGCGGCGAAAAAATGAAGGTTTTTAAAGAATATGCTCCTGTCAGTTTAAAAACTAATTTATGGCATATAAAGAAATGCAAAAGAGTTTTGTTTCGACGGATCAGAACTAAAAGTAATTAGTACTGTAAGTTGTGAAAAAACCCCATATTTTTTTTCACTTATAATGTTCGCACTTAAATTTATTTTTGTTTATTACATTTAACACTTGTAAACGTGGTTTAACGATAACAAAATAGATTTTATTTATTTGCTTGAAATTAAACAATCAGGCGCATGCTTCCATTCTCTTTCAGAATCCAGAGTCAATACAAAAATATAACTAAGGATGCAAAAATGTATCGACAAATACTATTATAAAACTTTATTGTTATTGTTAAGTTTGATATTATTATATGAAAATAAAAACGTTGAGCACTTCTGTTAACTCAAAAAACACTTCCTATATATAGTTTCGAAACAAAAAGAAAAAAAATATATATATCAGGATCGAAAAATGAGCGAAAAATTGAATTTAAAAAATTGTATTCATAATTTTTGAGTAAGATCAAAACCAATGTTAAGAGACATTAATGCACAACCTTCTAAAACTAGTCACATTGCCTCAGGTCGCGAAAACAACTTTCGGATTAGTCCCATGCGCATGCCTTGGTTATTTACAATTATCTTGGAAACGAAATGTTGCCCAAAATCAACTTTAGCATCAATTATAGGGATAGCTAAAAGTTATGTGCTAAGCCTATTTACAAATTCAAAATTCGTTTTCATTTGAATTTTATATTTTCATAAATTTAAGGTATTAGAAAAAATAGATTACTTAAAAACGCAGATCCTCAATATTTAGTTAAATACTACATACTCTCTAATGCAGATTTTTGTTAAGAAGATGTACGAGTAATTGGGCAAATGGCGACAAACACTCGTTTCGAGACAAGAAGTAACCTTCGTCTGCACCGAAGCCATATGCCTTCAAACTGCAACCATCTACAACCATATCTGTATATCTACATAAGCGTTTTTATTTATTTACTTATTTATTTATTTATAAGCCTTATCCTTACAAGTTACAAGTATTGGACTACATTTAAATTATTACGCTAGTCATTACAAATTTGGGTATATTGATCTTATATAATAACCTATTAATTATTTTCTTATTATTAGTTTTATTTTTAACATTCAAAATTTTTATTAATCTCTATAATTACTTTGTGTCCCTACACTCTATTTTTCATTAAAAAAACACACTCTTTAACATTTTTTTTTGCATTAAGCCATCTGCGATTTGGTCCCAATTTCTTTATAAACAAAAGTTCTTCAGTCAAAACTCTTTCTAGGTCTATCGCTGAAATTGTGGGAAAAGTAAAGTTTAGAGACTGCCATTTAGATTCATTTCATCATGCTGATCATATTTACATATATTCAGCTTAAACTGAAGTTAAGAGAGAGGGGTTGCAAGGCCTGCACCACTGTGCGTTGCATCGGATGACGAAGTTGGCAAAGGTGGCGAGGAGTGCGAAGTTGGGAAAATAGTTCGCAGCGCAATAAACGCGCAACGAGCTCAAACTGGGTGTGGAACGAGGTCGTTTGGTCACTTGGCCATTTGCTCGGTCGCCCGGTTGCCCGGTCAGTGCTCGAGTTCAAAAGTTCAGCCACCGGATCGGAGGGCGACTCCGCGGCGGCTGCTGCTCATCGTTTAGCAACCGCAGTCGTCTTGAGCCCAAATGACCTCCTAAAGTTATTGGGAGCCATTATTTTGCTTAATGCTTATATATGTAGACTCTTA